AAAAATATATAGAAAACAAAAACAAATAAAATAATTGTATCAAATATTCTGTTACAGTACCTTCAGTCTGGATGTAATGGTTGCATTAATTCTATCTTATACGTAATGTTCAAACATTATAAGTCTGTAAGATGTTATTCTTTTCAAAGGTTCTTGTTTGGTTGGATTTTATCTAGGTTGTATTTGTTTTACATTGTATTATTTAGTATAGAGTGGATTTGCTTTTGTTTTGAAGTTTAGAGAGCACTTTTATTTTGAAGTCAAGAGCTCTCGAGGGAGAAGCAATGGAGCCCTTGTTGAGGATTTTTGAAGAAGTTGAGGCTAAATACTTGAATGGAAAATCTTGAAGATTTTGGATAATTCCTGTTTTCTTGTAGCATGCAGCCAACAAGGTATTTTTTTTATTTATTTGTTTGCTTTGTAATTATTGTTTCCTCTGCTCTGCAGGTTATTGTGTGTCTCATTAATCTTTGTGTTTGCTAACTTTATTTAGTCTTCACGGTGGATTTGGAGATCCCAAACCAACTTCAAATAAACCAGTAAAAGAAAACCTACTGGAGTCTGCTGGTGCTTAGAGGGAATTCACCCAATGATTCAGATCAGTTGACTGGAATCTTCCCTCCTGTCCTCACAATTCCATCTCTCTTGCACATGGATGTTGCCAGGCCAAAAAAGAAGAAAGGTAGGAGGAAAAAGGATTGAGCTTGTGTTGGGGGGCTGGAACTTCCTGTGTAGGCCTTCCTGTGGTTAAAACACCTGTGTGGCAGACAAAGGAAGAGACCGGCTGTTTCAGCCCTTAACCAGATACACAGCTGGTAAGGAGGAGATTAAGTTAGTTATTAGGATTTTGTTTTTTACAAGGTAGGAGTTGTGGTAGAAACTCTGGCTTCTGGCCTGGTAATGTTCGGTTTATATTCTGCTTCTGGTTGAGCCACAGTGAAAATGTTTGATTTGAAAATGTTTGGTTTGAACTAATTCAACTTATTTTTTAAAGGTTTTCAGCCTAATCCTAAATCTTCCAACAAATCTGAACATCAACCTCAACAAACAAAAATAATAGAAATGGATCTGGCTTTTGCTTTGGCGTCCTTCTTGGTGATGACCAGTCATTTGTCAAGTTTGGGCAGAAGCTAAAAAAACACATATTACTGTTACGAAATATATTTAGCTCTCAACTCATTTTACCATAAAGTACAGATATATTATCTCTAGCTGGCACACATAATTTCTGGTGTGAAGCTATTTGAAATTAATTCTTCACATCAAGGATGATTAGATTTTTTTCATATTTTTTCTTGTCATAACAAAGAATGGACATTTTTATTTGGCTCAGATCTTACTCATAAAGGAACAAACCAAAAGTGTGTTCACTAATTGAGTGTATGTAGCTGTTTTAAGGATGTTTAGTTTGTGAACACAAAAATAAAATCCAACATTACAAAGCTATTTTGGTCCACAGGTCTGAGGAGGGTGGGATTTCCAGGTGGTGGCAGCAGAGGACTGGACTGGACTTGACTGGACTGGACTGGACTGAAGGGGAGGAACGGTGAGGAAGACTTCTCAGAATCTGCAGGATTTCTGGATTGTGACGAGCAGCTGGTTAGTCAGACTCTGTGGGACATCCGAATATATACGGTTAGATTTAGAACAATCCTAGAATCAAGAGAAGGTTTCGGCCCAAGTATAGCAGATGATGGTCAACAAGTGAATGCAAAAGCAGGAAATATAAGCAGCTTAAGGACTGAGAGGCCTGCAGGAATGAATGAGGACACACACACACAAACAAACGTATTGATTACATCCAGAAAACAGGGTTCTCATTGGAGAAGTTGCCCAATTCTGAGCGTTATCTTTCTGGAAGCCGTCGGAGGTCCACCGGTGCTCTGAGCCCTTTAACTGGACTCCACAGCTGGGTTTGGTTGGGTTTCCTGGATCGATATGTGGAGAAGCAGGTGTCAGACGGTGGTACTCAGAGTGGGCAGACGGGTGTGAGCCGGCCTGGATGAATCCAATTACAGCCGTCAGGGTGTTGGATTTTTGATGGCGTTATTATTACAGAGGTTCTAACGTCTGATTTTAATCCAGTAGAGGAAACCACAGACTGCTAGGACCAAGACGAGGACATCTGTTTACAGCCTGTAACTCAATATTCGTGTTCTTTCCAAGTTTTTCTGGAACCATCTGAAACTTTGGCCTGGTTTGAGACAAATTAAACATAAATGATCTCATGATTAGCAACTTTCCCCAAACAGGATCTTTTAGGTTGTCCGTCAGGGGTGCACACAAACTATCGGGTCGGTTGCAAGACGTTTAGGACCTCCAAAAGCAGGTTCCTGGGAGACCCAGGACCTTTCTGGGGGGAGTCTGCATGTTCTCCTGTGTCTGTGGGTTCTCTCCGGGTTCTCCGGCTTCCTCCCACCCTCCAAAAACCTGCATGTTAGGTTGTTGGACTCCAAACTGCCCTTAGTGTGAGTGTGTGTGGTTGTTGGTCCTTGTGTGTCTCTGTGTGTCCCTGTGATGGACTGGGGACCGTCCAGGGGGACCCCACCTCTCCCCATTGGCTACTGGGATAGACTCCAGTCCCCCCCCCGACCCCATTAGGGGATAAGCGGTTACCATAATGGATGGATGGATGTCTTTGGTCCCTCACTTGGGTTGTCTCCCCTTCTCATGAGTAGTTGTTCTCAGTTCCCTGTTGGTTCTCTGTTTTTCACTCACCTGTTTCCCACCATCAGTCACCAACCACCCCTCCAAAGGATTACCCAGCAGCCCCAGAATGCTGGAAGTCCAGACCTCTCTACGTTAAAGGTTTGGGAGATATAGGCACATGGTCCAACCCCGGTTCTACCAGGGTATTATCCACTCTCCACAATCCTTAAAAAGAAAATCCTTAAGCATTTTAATAGTACAAATGGAAAAAAAAGAAACATGCCTTGATACAATTTCGACATTACGAGAATGTTCCAGTCAAAACATTTAACAACTTGGGGGTGATCGTGGGGGGGGGGGGGAAAGTCAACAGGGATTGGCATGAGGTCCACACGCCCCCGCCGTGGAAAAGGGGCGTGTCCGGGTCCAGAGAGCCGGGGCTCAGTCCAGAGAAATGATGTCGGAGATGCTGCTGTCCGTGCCCCCGGCGGCGCCCGCCCCCCCCCCGGAGAGGCCCCGCCCGTCGTGGATGGCGGCGGCGCGGCTGCCGGCGCCGTCGTAGTGACCGCTGGAGGAGGAGGAGGACACCAGGGCCGAGCTGGTGCTGGCCGCGCTCTGCATGCTGCCCGCCAGGCTGTCCAGGAACATCTGCGGCCGGTAGTGCTGCGGGCGGGACAGCGGGGTCAGACCGGACCGGGGGAAGACCGGGTCACGCTAACTGTGGGACGGCCTCGGTCCAGTCAACGGCTACACTCTTTCAGGTTAAAACACCAGCCCCCTCTCCTATCTCTCTCTCAACCTCATTCCATTAACACATGTTACTAATTGGACTCTTTCCCTTTCCTGTAGGCGTGTCCTTCCTCCTCCCTCTCCTCTCTCCTCCATCACTTCCTGCAGATGTTCCTGGAGCTGTGGAGTCTGGATCTGAGGTTGGATTCTCCTGCTACAATTACAGCCACTGTTCATAGTCTTATTGCTGTTATTACTACTATCAATATCATTACTATCAATATCTTTACCATTTTTCGTCCAGTCTATGTGTCACTGTGTAGGCTGCCTCCTTTTGTCCTTCTCTCTCTCTCTTGCCCTCTCTGTCTCTCGCCCCCGACCGGTCGAGGCAGGCTGAGCCATGGTTCTGCTCCAGGTTTCTGCCTAAAGGCAGTTTTTCCCTCCCTGTGTCTCCTAGTGCTGTTCTTAGTGCGAATTGTTGTTCTTCTGTAAACAACTTCAGAGTCCGGTCTGAGTTGCTCTGTTTGGAAAGCTGGGAGATAACTGTTGTTGTGATGTGGCACTAAAGAAATCAAATTGAACTGAATTACATCAGGGTTTGAAATTGGTTGGAATCTGGTGTTAGCCAGCAGGGCTAACAGCTCTGAAAAGTTGTTAGCCGTGACCAAAAGCAGCCCGATTGGTTCTATTCTGTCACGTGGGCTCCAACTGACTAAATCTGAATATTTCTTCTTCTTTTGATTTTCTCATTCTCCAAACCCAGTTCATCACAGATAGTGGAGCACGGCTAGAGGTTGGACTTAAACCAGCTTACCTGTGGGTCAGCTTGGATTAAAGAAAACAGATCCAGACCTGTGGGGAGAGACACGTGGTCAGTGACGGGCAGCGGGGGGGTGAGCCGGTGAGGTCTCCATAGCGACTCACTCTGCATGTCGGTGGGGATGCTGGCCAGGGTGGAGGGGTGGAAGGGGACGGCGAAGTCGGCCAGCGTGGAGCTCAGGTAGGACTGCTCCAGGGCCTGGACGTTTGGCACGTGCAGCGTGGGCTGGTAGGTCAGCACCCTGCCGGGGAGAGGGACACGGAGCTCACATGGGGCGGCAGAAAAGCCCAAACTGGAACGGGGGATTAGGGATGTCCCGATCCAGCTTTTTGAACTGCCGAGCCAATACCGATTTTTTTTTTACTGATAGCTTAAAATTAACATGGCCGTCTTAATGGTTAGGACACTGACCTGTGGGTTAGGGGATGATAATGCTAATGCTCCTGTGCTTAAGGGAGAGCTGGGAAATGACCCAACAAGACTTTCAAGTAAAAAAAAATTGATCTGGAGTCTGGATCTGCATTTTCTCTTGCTGGCCGATACGCTTTTTTTTTGCAAACATCGTCCCGATCCGATATCTGGATCGGATCGGGACAAGCCTAGTGGGGATCACAGCAAAGCCAGGCTCCACTATAAGAGAGAGTCCGGCCAAAGCTAAAGTTGGAGGCAGATTTGACCCAACCGCTTCCGAAATGACGGTTGCGGGACCCCGTTTGGACGGAGGCTGATAAAGGAAATCTAAAACAAAACACACACACACACACTGACAGACCTACTCACCCTTTTGCATGCAGCTCCTCGCTCTTGGACATGTAGATGCACTGCTTCTTCAGCGGGGGGTCCGCGTCCTTCTCGTCGTCGTCGGAGGAGGAGGAGCTTTCCAGGGTCAGGTCGATGACGTCCGCCTTCCTGCTCGGGCCGGTGTCCGTAGACTGGGACACCACCGAGGACTGGCGCACGGCGGCCACCGCTGGAGGGACAGGGGGAACGTCAGAGGTCTAAACCTGGGGGCTGCAGCTTTAAACGCAACCACTTCTTACACGGTGCTACTTACGCTCAACTTTGGCGACTGGCTGGGAGGGGACCTTCACCGCCTCTTTCTTGGGCCTCATCGGGCACCAGGTCCCGTCCTCCTGGAACTTGATTTCGTCCACGTCCGAGCAGTCGTTCAGGATCTCCAGGAACAAACTGGGGAGGAGGAGAGAGACCGGTCTGCCACGCGGCGGTTTTCACAAAAGAAAAGAAGCCGGAGCTTTGGTCGTTGTTTTTGTTGGCTCTGGGTCCAAATCAGGACACAAAAAAAATAACCGATAATAACCGGCCACCCTTTGCTGTCATGTCAGGGTTGATCCACTTAGTTGGTTGAGGTTTATCTGTGCATGGGCGACGGTTTCTAATCTGTGCAGGAACCAAATGTGTGCGGCGCCGGTTACCGTGGAGATCAACCAGCTGAGCAGACTTGGTGGTACGGCCCGACAAAGGCGAAGAGCAGGTCAGTTCGGTCCAGCCTCAGATAACATGCTGATCTGGGACTGTCTGACCTGTCCTGGTGGGTAAAACCGCTTAACAGAAGCTTCTTTTCCACAAAGAAACCCTGATAGTCATCTCATGTGTTGTTCCAAGATGGTGGAACGACCTACCAGGCACTACAAGAACAGCAGCGTCCCTTTCTACCTTTAGGAAACTCTTAAAGACCCACCTCTCCACAGAGCATCTCTTATTCTGACTCCTCCCCATACCTCTGGACCCTCTACTCCTCTTTCTGTACTTCCTTTTCTCTTATTTGCTGCCACCACTGACTCTGACCGGGGATTTTCCTCTAGAAAACTTATTGTCATGTTGATGATAACTGTAAAATTGTGTCTACGTGGTAAGTCGCTTTTGATAAAAGCGTCTAAATACATAAACAGAAACATAGTGACCAGTGTGAATGAACCGACTCGTTCCCTTGAACCCTCTGTGGCACGACTTTTTATTTGTTGGGGAACAAATCTTACCCCCTTTTTCTGGGAGCTCATATAGTCATCCTAAAACCTGAGAAGTGGAATGAAAACTAGTTAGATTAGACAAATATTAACAGTTGTACACAGCATGTTTAACCAGGAAGTTCTTTAACATTCAAGAAATATCTGGACAAACATCTAAAATGGACATTTCTTATGTTTTTCTTATGTGTCTTGTTCTTGCTCCACATAAAGATAAAAGTCTGGATATGTGCCTGAGGGCCACACCATCCCATAGAGAGTTAAAGACAGTCCCATCTGGAACAACGTCCTAAACTGTGTCCCCAGCATTCACTGTGTGTGTTTGTATTCGTGTGTGTGTGGATGGACGGGCGCCACCCACCCGTCAATGATGAGGTTCTCGTAGGCGGCCTTCTTGTCGCACACGGGGCAGATCCAGGTGGGCTTCTTCTCATTCATCTGCAGGTAGAGCGCAGCGTCAAAGCACTGCAGGTGGGAGCAGGTCACCGCCCGGCAGGGCGCCGTCAGCCGCATCTTACCCAGCTGGAGACACAGCACACACACACACACTCAGTCCAACTCATCAGCACAGGAACGGGGATCTGCGTGTGGACCGGGGGGGGGGGGGGGTGCTTTACTTACCGGGCACATGAGCGACACTCTGAGGCTCGTTGTGGCTACTTCACTGTCAGGGTCTGCCGTCAGCTTCTCCTTAACTGAAACACAGTAAAGCTAATGAGAAAAACACATCCCAGGTCAGAAGACTGGACAGCTCTGTCCTGTACAAAGTCCAAACTGATCTGTGTCTTAACCCTGTGGAATGTTCACAGCTTTGTTAGCCCTGTCCTGGCTTTTTCATCCCTTTTTCACCTGACACATCTCTCTAAGTTTAAACTTTTCCTTTATGTATGGTGTGGTACGGTATGCTATGCTATGTTTTATATGTTATGCTATGCTATGGTATGGTATGGTATGGTATGCTATGCTATGCTATGTTATGTTATGTTATGTTATGTTATGTTATGTTATGTTATGTTATGGTATGGTATGGTATGTTATATTATGCTATGGTATGGTATGTTATATTATGCTATGGTATGCTATGGTATGGTATGTTATGGTAGGGTATGGTATGCTATGTTATATTATGCTATGGTATGCTATGGTATGG